GGGTCAGAAAAAATGGGGAAGACTTTTTAACAGTGAATTTTGTTGTTGTCATATGTCTGAATCCTATCATTCTGGGCTATGTAGATTTGCCCTTCCAAATGTATAGTCTACACAGGAGCCAGCCAACTATGGACCAAGGGCCAAATCTAGCCTACCACTGCTTCCCTAAACTTTTATTGGAACACAGCCACATCCACTCATTTACATATTACCTATAGCTGTTTTTGTGCTACAATGGCAGAGTTGAGTAGTTGTTTCAACTGAATGGCACACAGAGCTGAAAATATTCACTATCTGGCTCTTTACAGAAAAAGTTTGCCAACCCCAAGTCTAATATGGCACCCTCAGTAAACACAGGAATTGAATTAAAAAAATACGATTAATATTATTACAATTTGGGGTAGGGCTACCATTAAGGATATATTTAATTATGGTTTTTCATATTCCTTAAATAAAAATATTTATGATAAAAATTTTACGGTGTACTATAGCTAACAGCCCTTGATGAAATATTTTCCCGCTATGATACCTCTGCAGATATAGAAAGAGATAAAAATTTCACCACCAAAAAATAAAACAGCCAACCTCCTACCACCGCTATGAGGAAGTCCCATTGAATGTAAGACATTCTATGGACTTTCTTTGCTGTGTAAACCTAAATAGATATAAGAACCATCATTCTGCCTCTCTGCCTTTCTGTATCAAACACAACCCAGATCCATCCCTCCCGTGTGTGGCCACTACTCTTTGAGGCAGTCAGGTGCCAGTCCTCACCTCCCTCAATATCTTTCTTTCTACATCTAATCAGAGCCCATAATGTAAAAAAAAAAAAAAAAAAGAGTGGGAAGTATGCATGTTGGAGGAGGTAGAGGGAGTGATAAAAAGTTGGGGAACAGGATGATGTCTCAAATGGTAAAGCACATGGTCACCGAGAGAGAAGGAGAGCGCCTTTGCAGCAATGCAAACTGGGGAGTATAGTTTTGGTTTCACATACTCAAAATGTAGGAGGGTTAGGCAGTGGAGGTAGGAAAAGATCCAATCTCAGTACAGTAGAACTACACTGACTGAAAACCCACCAGCCCCTCAGACATGAACCTTTCTTAGCATCTGGCTATGGATCCAAGAAGGGGAGTTAGCCAGGGGCAGGACATTTACCCTTGCAGCTTTCAAGCAGTGGGTATGGACAGATTTCTCTTGATCAAGGATGAGTAAACAGAAGGAGAGAACTTGGGAAAAACCCTGAAGAGCAAGCAAAACAAAATGTTCTAAAGATTCAGAGAAAGAGCAGACTTCTGAATGCTACATACTACAGGATCTAAAAGAAAATATTTAAAAGCTATTTTGCAACTTCAGTAAGATGCATGAAAATGAAGTCTTTATTAAATAGAAGCAAGAAGCAATAAAGAAAGAATAAGCGTTAGGATGAAAAAAACTAGATGAACCAATGAGAAGAAAAATAAGGAAGAATTAAAAGAAAATTAAAGTGAAATAGTCAAATTAAAATCAATACTAGAAGTAGTAAATACAAACTCAAGCTCTCTCCATATGAAGAGGAAAGACACAAAAGTGAAAAATGATGAGACAGCATGATTGATAATGAGGGGGAAAGCGAGGGGAGCAATCTAAGAATCATCGTGTTTCTAGAGAAAAGAGAATAATTGGAATGAATATGATTAAATTAAAGCCATAACTGAAGAAAGCATTTCAAAAACTGGAATACAGACTGACTGAAAGGGCTGCACTATATTCTAGGCAATAAGGTGAAAAGACACCTCACCTAGAAATATCCTGAAAAAATGTTTCATTTATAAAGATAAAGAAATATCCTGCAAGAATCCAATAGAGTAAAATTAGTTGAACACACTGGAATAGAAAGCAGACAGACCTCAGATTTCTCCATAGCACTAAATTTCAGGATTCAGTGGAAAGGAGCCCACAGGGTTGGGATGTGAAAATATTATAATTGCCCCCAATTTTTGAGCCCTCCAATTAGCTCTAAGGTATATGGACAGGAAGAAAATAATTCTCAAACCCTTAGTGGCTCAGAAGACATCCAATCTTCTATCTTTCTTGAAAAGAACATCCAAAGATGAAATTCAACCTACTCAGATTCATCAATGTGGGAATGGGAAAATTATAAAAAATTATTTAAAAGTATTAAAAAATTGGTGGTAATATCATCAGGAACATTTGGGATGCCTGGGTAGCTCAGCCGGTTAAGCGTCTGCCTTCAGCTCAGGTCATGATCCCAAGGTCCTGGAATGCAGTCCCATATGGGGCTCTCCACTCAGTGGGGAATCTGCTTCTCCCTCTCACTCTCCCTCTGTGCGCTCTCTCTCTCTCTCAAATAAATAAATAAATAAATATAATCTTCAAAAAATATATCAAGAACAACTCTCATCAGACTGAGCAGACCATTTTAATGAGTCTACAAAAATGTGGATGGGTTAGGGCTCTGTTCATAAGGCATCTGGACAAAAGTAGCAAGCAATTTTGTTATGAATTTACATCCCTCCTTAAGGGAACAACACCCTGTTTAAACATAAGAGATTTCTCCTTTTGTCAGAGATTATCACCAACTTCTAAAATGTGATTTTAACTATGAAAAAAACAAATATATCCACATTTGCCTACAAAAAATTTGGAATGAATTACCAAAATAATCTATTATGGTGTTTTTGAATGATAGAAATCTAGATGATCATTTTCTGCTTTTCTGCCTTTTCCAAATTTTCCTTAATAAGTACAGATTCATTTTATGATTTAAAAGAAAAAAAAAAAACATCTTACATTGAAAATCAATTTTTTTTCTAGAGCTCAAGACCTGGAAATACGTTTCTTCTGATGAACTTGTGTGTTTTTAATATTTAATGAGTTGAGGCATACAAAATACTTGCAATCATGTTCAATGCTATTAGTAACTAGCATTTTTGTGATTGTTACTATAGATAATGCTATGTAACTCATCATTTTGGAAGGCCATCTAACATAATGGTTAGAAATATGAGTCAGGTGTGGTCTGTTGAGGTTGTGATGCCGAAATGCCTAGGTGAGAAGCACTGATACTTCCTAACTGTGGTCTTACCCAAGTCACTTAAGGCTCTCCGTACCTTGGAGGGGATGATAATAATAGCTCCTAATAGGGTTGTGATGAGAATTACAGAGCTCTGAAAATTAATGATTGGCACATAATAAATGCCAAAAATGTGGTGATGGTGAGGACAGAGATGATGGTAGATGGTAGACAGTGGTGATGGTGTTTCCATCAAAAGCCTAAACTTTTTAACACCCCTTTATATCATCAGAACATCCAATATTTAATAATGATCTTAAATCAAGAAAAAGATTTCTAGATAATGAGTTGATTTTTTTTAATATGTCATGGCAAAATATAAGCTTAATGATTCAAGAGTGATTAAAATCAATCTATTTTCAAGACTTCAGAATGCTTGCACATCAACTAGCTATGAAGTATGGTACCAAATTTCATCTTTTTAAATTAATTATGTATATCAATGCAAACTATATGTGAGTGCAATGTTTGAAGCTAGAGCTTTTTTTTTTTTAATTTTTTAAAAAGGTTTATTTATTTGAAAGAGAGAGAGAGAGCGGGCGCCAAGGGAGAGAATCTCAAGCAGACTCCCTGCTGAGCACGGAGCCTGACATGGGGCTGGATCCCAGGACCCTGAGATCATGACCTGAGCTGAAATCAAGAGTCCCACGCTCAACTGAATGAGCCACGCAGGCGCCCCACTATATATAATGTTTTTAAAAATGGGAACTAGTACTTTCAGTTATCCCAATATCTATCCCCCAATATGAAGTCCGTTAAGGTTTCAAAGACTTAAAGCAGAAGGCTCACAAAATGGTGTTTCCTCCATGTGTCCTCCCACTTTCCTTACTGCAGTCATGGCAAACTGCTTAATTACCCTTCATACATAAGGGGACTGAATCCTGGAAAGTGCTAAATCAAAATGCCCCAGCACTACAGCGTCCCCTGAATGTGAGATACTGTGCAACTCTACCGAGAAGCTCATTTGTAATCTCAGTGCTGGGAGAAGACTTCGTGATGAATTGGGAGATGTGACATGAGTGCAGTAGTTGAGGTAGTGTGGGTAATACAATCTAGTCTTTCAATTAGATACATTTTCCCTTTATTTGGCATTTAGCATTTCTTGTCTAATTGCCTTTTGTCTGCCTTTAAAAATATTGCCCAATTGTCACAATATTCCATGTTATAGATTTTGTTTTATTTGACACAAAGTACTGCTCTGTATCAACTGAATGTTGGCTTCCAGCTTTTTCTTAGATCACAAATGAGCTATTTTCAACTGGAGGCAAACTCCTTTTGTGGTTATCTGTCAACTGCCAAGAACATCCATAGAAACCTCTGGAAGAGTAAAAAACTATAAAATACCATGTATACCACATTTATTTGCCATTGATTTTCTCTTCCAAATTTGTGTGAAGAGTCTAATGTTCTGAAAATCTGATGAACTTTAAATGAAGAACAATATCCACTATTTTTAAAGCTCCCCAGAGAAAATGTGAATAATTTGAATCGTTATCTTATAAGAATTAAAAAGTGTACATCTGAATGATCATGTTCAAAGACATACACATGTCTTAAAAAGCAAGACTATACCCATGCACTGAGAAACACACCTGATCGTATTACAGACTTTCCCAGATGTTTAACTTGACATTTTTGCAACATCTGCAGCTGGAGCTGGTGGCTTCTTTGCGTGTACCCTCAAGGCTCACTTTCATTACATAACAATTAGCTTAAGTGGCTGGTAATTAGACCTATCTGTAGCTTCTAAGAGTAAAAGAAATGTGTCAGGGGTGGTCTCCAAAAGCATAAGGAAAACAAAACAGCCTTTGCTTCTGGTTCCTAGTATTTTCGAGGCCTGCCTTGACAACCTCAGAAGAGGCTCCAAGTTCCCCAACAGTGAAGTTAATAGTCTCCGAAGGATCCATTTGGAGGCTGTCTTCCTTACCTGGTTACAAAACAGAGGTTGACACTGAGCTGTGAAGCACTGGGCGACCCCATTTCTACACACACATTTGGCACACCGACTCAAAGGCCAGTCTTCCCCATCCTGAAATACACGGCCTTCATAGGAACAAGGTTCTGGAAGGTCAGAAAAACAAGAATTACCTGGCGGACTGCACATCCTGATCCCAGGGCTGACTGCATGGGTGTGTGGTCAGTGCAGTCACACAGGGCCCTGTGGTTGGGGGTTTAAAACTCGGCAGTGTTCATATGGAGCTCTTTTGTTTGTTTTTTAAAAAGGGGGGGATAGAGAAAGAGGGGTGGGGAGGGGCAGAGAGAGAGGGAGAGAGAGAATCCCAAGCAGACCCCACATCCAGCATGGAGCCCGGAGAGGGGCTTGATCTCACAACCCTGAGATCATGACCTGAGTTGAAATCAAGAGTTGGACGCTTAACTGACTCAGCCACCCAGGTGCCCCCATTATATGGAGCTCTTAATAACTTTCTCTCTGAGTTAGCTCATGCATGGTCCCACATCCTACGCCTTCTTGCCTTCCTGAGATGGGTTTTCAGCCACTCGCTCCTAAACCTACACCCAGTTGATGTGGAGAACAAAGGCAAAAGAACCATAGGAAAATAACAAATTTCTCTTGCAGCCCATTGACAAGTACTGAAGATAGGCAGGGTGACTTTCCTCCAGGAACTCAACTGCCTCGATGTTAATACTTTGCTAGAGGCAAAAGGCAATGTTAGCTTGACATTAGTCCAATCTCCAGGATTCTGTAAGTCTTTAACATATAAAAATCCCTTTGTAAACTTTATCTTTACCGCCCAAGATCTATGTTAGCAATCATCCTCCAAGCATATAGCCCACTGATACACATCTGAAGGATCTCATGACTAAGGTATTACTAGACAGTAATAAATGACCTTTTTCTAACAGCAGCTAGCCCTTCAAGGTCCTGGAAACCTTGCTTCCAAATTCCTTACAGACTTAGGCTATCCCGAACCCCCTCCCAACTTGAAAGTACATAATCAGTCATTCCTCAAGATCTCAGTGCTGCTTTCCTTTCACTCCTCAAGATCCCAGTGCAGGGTCCTTTCCTGTGCTTTAATAAAACTACCTTTTTTGCACTGAAGGTGTCTCAAGAATTCTTTCTTGACCATTCACTCTCAGACCCCAACATTTCACATCAGTGTGAACGCTGCCACCCTCCACCCACAGCGGGGACCTGGATGAGGGTGCTAGGAGAGTGCATGAGCCCTAAGCACCAAGTAGCAGGATGGGGTCTGGGGTGCCTGTGGGATCTCCATCCACCCGGCAAGTATCCCCATATCTGAAGCAGCAGGACATTAAATAGCAAATTAAAAACATGAGAGTTGAGAAAAACCACAGAAGAAAAGAAGAGGCTGCCCCCTACCCACTGCCTTCTAAACAAGGGGCCCTGCATCTTCATTTTGCACCTAGCAAATTATAAAGTTGGCCCTGGCTGATCCTCCAGTCTCTCCAGGCAAAATGCTTCCAATATGTCTCATGGAGGCCAAGGAGAAAGCCTCTTAAAGCACAAGAAAGGATCCCACAATCTCAGCCAGCCTACTCGCCACCCCCAAACTCTTGTTCAAGTATTTTTAGTTGTAGGGTTCTTTGGCCCAAAGCAGCTCTCAGTCCTCTTCTGGTGGGTGACATCTGAAATGCGTGAGGCAAGCATTTTTTTTTCATTGTTTCCTATGCATACTTTTTAATCCTTGTAATCCTTCTCCAGAGTAAAGGAATGCCAGGAATGGAATAACTGGGGATCAGAAAGAAACCAGGGTCTTTTTAAAGGAAAAGGCAGGGGCGCCTGGGTGGCTCAATTGGTTAAGCATCCAACTCTTGATTTCGGCTAAAGGCCTGATCTCAGGGTTGTGCAATCAAGACCAATGTTGGCTAAAGGCCTGATCTCAGGGTTGTGCAATCAAGACCAATGTTGGTGTCGGGCTCCATGCTGGATGTGGAGCCTGCTTGAGATTCTCTCTCTTCCTCTGCCCCTCCCCCCAGCTCTCTCCTCCCTCAAAATAATAAAAATAATTTAAAAATAAAATTACTTAATTAAAACAAATAAAAGGAACAGGCAAAAATAGAGTATAGCTTCCAGGTATTTTTTTTTTTAAGATTTTATTTATTTATTTATTTGACAGAAAGACACAGCGAGAGAGGGAACACAAGCATGGGGAGTGGGGGAGGGAGAAGCAGGCTTCCCGCCGAGCAGGGAGCCTGATGCAGGGCTCAATCCCAGGACCCTGGGATCATGACCTGAGCCAAAGGCAGACGCTTAACAACTGAGCCACCCAGGTGCCCCAGCTTCCAGGCATTATTAAATAAAAGAAGAATTTTAGTCATTACATGTCAGGAGAGGATGTAATGCAGCAATGATGATAATTTGTATTTATCGTGAAGTATCTACTACTTAGTTATAAAAATGGAAGGGGACATATATCCCTAAAATGTAATAAAAGGAGTGGTTGGACCAAGCATGGGTTCCAAGGAAGGCCCTGGAAGTGTGCCCCTGGCTTGCTGAATGGGGCCATGGTTCGTAGGCAGGCATAATCTCCACGGTGAACATGCCACCAAGACAAACGAAAGACCTGCTTCCTGCTCTGTGTGACTTGGAGAAAGATGTTATGTCATCTCAAAGACCAGCTGGCAGAATTAGTGCTAGTGATGCTACATAGAGAAGCGATTTGTTCATTCTGTCTCTGCCAAGAGGCAGGAGGAAGTACCTTGGCCTTATGGAATCACATCAAAGAATCTTGTCCCTCCTCCCTTTTCTTCCTGGGAGCTGCAAATGCAGAGGGATGCATCAGGCCAGCACAAAATAAATAAATCAGAGACTTGCAGAATCCCAGATTTGGGACAGAGCTTAAAGATGTGTTCCAACCTCACTCTCCGCGACATTGCTTCTGCCAAGTGCAAGGCTCCAACTTGGTTCCCATAAGGAACAGAATTAAGGATCTTCGAGCCACACTGAGCAAGAAAGAGAAATGTTGGGATGTCAGCAGGCATACCTTAGAGGCAAAGAGGGTCTCTTTCTACAAGTTCATACTCACTCCCAGGGCCCACACACACTGGGCAGCAGGTGCCTTCAGGGATGAATTCCAGCTCGTGCTGTCCACACAACAGCGGTGGGCACGGCTGGGGGCTGCATCGGACTTCCCCACGGGTACAAGAACACACACTGCACAGGGAGGCGGCCCACTCTGTCCCATGCTGGGGGTTAGAGGAAACAAAGAAAAAGAAGCTTATTGTCAGAATATAGCTTTCATTTGACCAAACAGAAACAAACCTCTAACACAAATCAAGGACGGTGCTTAGGAGAGATGGAAGAAGGCTCCAGGCTTACACGGTTAAGACCAGGGTTTACAATGTTCCAAGTCAGAGACCAATTTAAAAAACTGAGTTTTCTTTTCTTTTCTTTCTAGTAGCCTTAAGATTTATATTTGGAAATTTCAGAAAAACACAAAAAGAAAATAAAAAGTACCCCAACCCCAATCATTTAAAAAATGCTGTAAAGCCTAAAGTAAAATATACACACATATATGTATTTACTGGATTCTTTTTTTTTTTTTTGAAGATTTTATTTATTTATTTGACAGAGAGAGAGAGAGACAGCGAGAGAGGGAACACAAGCAGGGCGAGTGGCAGAGGGAGAAGCAGGCTTCCCACGGACCAGGCAGCCGGATGCAGGGCTCGATCCCAGGATCCTGGGATCATGACCTGAGCTGAAGGCAGATGCTTAATGACTGAGCCACCCAGGCGCCCCTACTGGATTCTTTATAATGGTCACATTGTTTTCAATAGCTCTCACTCTGATCCCCTCCCTCTCTCTTTTTTTTTCTCTTTTCTTTTTCTCTTTCTTTCTGCCTTTACTTTTTACCCTGAGTAGTTCCCATATTCCTCTTTTCCTCTCCTTCCTCCCCATCTTACTCTCTCCTGTTCCAGTGATCTGGTCCTGGGGGAAAGTATGATAGCCAGCCAGTTCTCCCACAAACTGCAGCGCCAACTCAGAGCCCATCTACACACACAGAATGTCGCTAATCCACTTCAGGTTGGCATACAACATTCCCAAAGCTAGCATTGTATCAGTGATCTAACAGATCCATGTTTTGAGTTACATGACTTACTGAGTACCAAAAATATTTAAATGAGCCATACTCAAATGTGATGCAGAGTAAGAGGGGGGTGAACCCTGAATGTAAAAGGCCTCAAATATGTTGACTACTTAGGGAAGTAGCTTTCAAAGTATGTTATGTTTTCAATGGCAGAATGGAATAATGGTGGCCTTTTACAAGATGTAGGGGGGAAATAAGCTTAATGAATGAAACTTTCCTCCTATAACATTTTCTTAAATACTGGAAACTGCTATCCTTTGCCTCTAAGTGTAGCATATGATGACAATTGATTCAGCCCAAATCATATATAGATTTCTATTAAAAACATCACACATTCCAGGTGCTCAATCACCTAAATATAATCTGGCTATTACAACTGTGTGACTGAAAAGCACAGAAAATAAATGTCCTCTTGCCTCTCCTCAAGCCAGCATCCAGAGTAGTTATTCATCTCTCTCAAACACAAAAGAACTCTGTCCTACCTAAACAAGTCAGTACCCCTTTATTCTGCAAATTATAGCCAGGTTGCAAGCACGCCAAGTCTGACATTTTGGAATTACTAATAACCTGTACTATTATTATAATAATGGTAGTAATAGGTAGTCACAGTCATCCAGTTATTTGGGAACTGAGTCCTCACCTCACTATCACAAAGATTACTTTCTTCTAGCCAGACTTACTGAAGCACAAGAGAACAAAAATGCAAGTATGCAGAGTCAGATGAACTGAGGGTCTCCTTGGAGGCTCCCATCTCAGCCCTCCCTGCCTTGGGAACTGTGAGTGAGTGACTTAATCTTTCTAAATCTCAGCTTCCTGGTCTGAAAAACTGAAATGGTATGACAACACCCCCTTCACTGGGTTATTATAAGGATTAAATGAGGTAGTTTGTTAAAGAGTTGCAGGGGGGTGGCAGGTAGAGGATGCTCAATCCTCTCTCTTCTTTCCACTGCATTGGGTTCATGGCCTTCCTCCTCCTTTTCGCACCTATGTGCCAACTGTGACTGTAGAAATGGACCTAATATCAAGGCCAAGTCCTCTACCACCAATTTTTACTTCTGCTATAATTAAATATAAAATTTCAAATTTAGCACAGCATATAAATGGGCAAGCCCACAACTTGCTAATAAACTGCTGACTAATAAAAGATAGGAAGCAATTGACCTTTATACTTTGAAAAGCCTAAGCATAAAAGCAAAGAAACTATAAGAGAAAAATTGATAGGTTCTAATGAGTTAAAATTTTAAAAGTCTCTCAAAAATACATTATACAGGGGCACCTGGGTGGCTCATTTGGTTAAGCGACTGCCTTCGGCTCAGATCATGATCCTGGAGTCCCAGGATCAAGTCCCGTGTTGGGCTCCCTGCTCAGCAGGGAGTCTGCTTCTCCCTCTGACCCTCCCCCCTCGCATGCTCTCTCTCTATCTCATTCTTTCTCAAATAAATAAATAAAA